TTTTTTTTTTTTTTTTTTCAGGGTTGTGCATTTTATCTGTGCTGTGATTTTTGTTTTGCTTTTTTATTACAAATTGTAAATATTTCTTTTATTTCTTTTTTTTGGTGTAGTTTGTATGCGAAGTTTAAGAAAGTAATGATGGAAAGGAACCTTGGCTTATTAGTGAGAAGCATGGTAGGCGATTATATTGTTAGACTGTACATGTCAATATAGTCCACTGTCAAACAGTTAAACTGAAGCAACAAATGAATTACAGCAAGTTTTTGTCTTTTGTTCCCAGTATCAAACCTGTAACCCAAACTCCATAGATCTACAATAAACAACTCGTTTGCTTTTTTACATTCTTCCTGGCTTATGACTTTTGATTCGGTTCAAAGGTGTGTAAAAGACCTTTGAATGGGCGATGTCCTAGTTTGCTACTTCAAACAGTAAGGACATCAGCCCCACTACAAGCCCCAGTTTACACCTCATTAGTAAAGTATTCTCTTTGATATGTCATCTTTTAGATATTCTAATGTGCATTACTTTGAAAGTATTTTGGCCAAGCCATTTCAAGGATACAAGTAAGCCATTTTTTTAGTACAACATTATGCCTTTTTTAATTAATTTGTTTTTAAATAAGTCTTTAATTTATTTTGAAGAATTATGGAACTGACTACACTTGAATCTCAGGAGGAAGTGTGGTTCCTAGATTGTCTTTTATCAACGGTTCCTTTAGTGCAGTAGACTTCTGAAAAGCACTGATCAGACAAATTACAAACCAGAACAGTTTTTAAATTTATATTGACACCACTGTTTGACTTTTGAACAAATTTCTGATGCTAGTTCAGCACAAAGGTGATTGAAAGCAGGCAGGGTTAACTCATTTTCACCAGCAAATCTAAAGGGCTACACAGCATCACAACACATCTATTAACACTACCAACAGTTCGTGAAGACCTCCAAAAGGAAAAGGAGCAAAGAGGAAAGTTTTTGTCAACTTTAAAAGGCGTTTTATTATGTTTGGAAGCACTCTGGAGTTCATGTTGGTGACTGTGTGGCCCGGCAATAATGGCAGCTCCTCATCCAACTGCTCCATAATGTGTCCCACCGCATTGTGCTGGCAGAGGACACCCAGCTTGTGTTTCAACAGTAGAACATCCAGAGCTGGAAAATAAACCATTGCGTTAGATCAGATGAAATGTAGTCGTGTGTGTCCATTGCTTTTATTTCTATTCCTACCTGTGTTATTTCATAAACGTGTAAATACTCTCACCACTATTTCAGCCATGCACGAATGTTCATGAATTAATTGACTTCGAGTAATAACTGTATTGTGATTTAAGAAAGTGTTAGTTTGCCCGAGTACTGCTGTGTGATGAATTGTCGACTATATTTAAATGTCCGGAGAGTTTGTGCCCTCCTGTTTTATTGTACTGGATACATAAATCTAGCAGAATGCAAGCTTTGAGTTTACAGTATAATCTATAATACAACAGACGCTATATTTTTATCGCTTTACGTTGCAGGTTGTATATCAGGTCTTTTATGATTAAACCAACAATGCAAAAGCTTTGAGACTTTTTGAGATTTGTTGTCTTTTATATCTGACAGTTTTTTGATATTTGTGTTTAGAAATTTGGGATTGTATTTTCTTTTTCAATTTGTCTCAACTCTATTAAAGTTAAAGAAGCTGGTATAAAGTGACTGTGGTTTGTTTCAGTGTGTATAAAAAGTGTTCGCCTCAGACGTTTTCAGCTTTTATTGTCTCAACAACATAGAATCAGAGATTTAATGTGACTTTTAACACAAAAAGATAATTTGATGGTTTTTTTTAAGGGAAAGCAGAGCTCTACCAAGTAATTACAAATGATAACATTACTATATGAGTTTGCAGTTTTGACATTACAGCCTTAAATCTATTAAAATCAAATTCTCAGTTGGATTGTCGACTTACTCGGGACATTAAAGGTCCCCACCAGACATTATGTATTAAGACATATATATACAAATAGTATACTTGGGACAGTAATGTGTGATATTTTTTTTCCATTACTGTGAAGCATTTACGCCAGAAAAATAAAAACTCCCGAGCTTCTTGCACCAAGTACCAGCGCTGTGCTTCACTGTCAGGGTGGTATGTTTATGGTGATGTGCAATGTAACATGGCGTTTAGTATGAGGGCCAAATTCATCTCATCAGACCACAGAACCTTCTTCCAGGTGACTTCAGAATCTCCCAGTGTATTCTGGGAAACTTTAGCTGAGATATGTGAGTTTTGTCCAGGGGAGGACATTTTAATCTGTGGGTCTGTCACTTTGGTCCAGACGGAGTATTTTTCAACGATTATTGGATGGATTAGCATGAGGTTGTGCCCCTAGAGGATGAATGTTACTGACTGATTGTCAGTGTGATTCCCTGACTGTGAAATGTGGTTCAGACATTCATGGCCCCCAGATGAACTGTAATAAGTTCTACATCGGGTCTTAATATCAGCCTCAGCTGCACATTGTGTTTAGTACTAATGAGCAAATGTTGCTAACGCAGTAACCTAAGATGGTGATCACAGTAAACGTTATACCTGAAACATTCACATGCTAGCTTTGGTATTGAGAGTACATTAGCATGCTAATGTTAGCAGTTAGCCAGAGCCAGAACTGAACTCAGAACAGCTGGCTCCAGGAAGAGTTACAGCTGTGTCTTTCCACTTCATGATGAGTGTTCTTTCAGCCAATCTTTTTCGTTAATTCGTCTTTATATGGTAGGGTTTGCCTCAATACTGACTTACCAAAAGCCATCCAGATACAGGTGTATTCATACTACAGAAACAGGTGTGATACAGGTGTATTCAATTATAGATAGAGGTGTATTTATACTACAGTGGATTTCCATGTAATTATTTATATGGCTTCTAAGGCCAGTTGGCTGCACCACTAGTGATTTGGTCTTTTTAAAGGAGATGAATATGCAAATGTGTTTTTGTATTTAGTATTTGTAATTCATTTAGATCACTCAGCTTCTTTTGGAGGAGTAGTAGATTAGTATTAACTTCATTCTTTACAGCTTCACTTGTGTTTCTTATCCCTCATGCCTCTTGGTGTTGCTTGAGGTGCATGTTGGGAATCCACTTCCCTCCCAGACAGACAGCTGCTTGTCTTCGGCAGGGCAGCGTGTTTACCTCCATCAGCAGCATATTAGTGAATGACAAGACCCCCCACTCAGACAGCAAACAGTGCATTAGGTATTGGCCGTGATTACCAATGTTTGGCCCGGTCTAAGTCTGATGTAAACACATTCTAGGTTAATGTGAATTGACTTCATGTTTCTCTGTATGTGGCCCTGTAGCTCCTTCCCACTGTAAATAAAGCATTACATGGGGGTTATTGTCAATGACAGGGTCCCCTTGGTGTAACAAACGTTATAAGTCATTAGGCAAATTATTTGCTCTGCTCTACAATTTCCTATAAGTGTAAATAAGGAGGTGAATAAAGAGGCAGCTGTATGCGACTGCATGTGAATGTGATCATGAATGTGAATGGGGGCCCAGACAGCCACGCTAGACAGCAGGAGGAAGAGGAAGAACTCTTAAGTGAAACAAAATATTTTATTTTTCAAACATAGACTCATCCATATTATGTACAGCTTGAAAATATAACACAGGAGACAGAAGTTGAATGACTGCCGCAGATTCAACACAACTCACACAAATTTGAATAAAAAAAGATATAAAAATTTACAAAATATATAAAAGTGCTTGTGGAACGAGATGGAGCTTAATGGCAGCCGGGCTGCCTGTTGTGTGTGAAACTCCCAATAAAATGTCCATTTAAATAGAAAGTACTAGACGTGTTGTTTAAAACCATTAAATACATCAACACCCCAATGAAAAAACACCATAATATTCCTACACTTCCCAGCAGTCTGTGATTATAGGATTACTACAGCTGTTTTCCATGACTTCATACTATGGACACATTGTCCATCGTGCAGGCACACCTCTCTACGATCATATTGGGGAATTCAGCAACTTCTATCTCGGTGTAGTCCCCCTTCTTCACCAGGTACATGATGGGTAACGGGGCGCTCTCAGACACCGAGCATCGTCTTTCTCCGTAGCCGTAGTTTCGCTTGGGCTGCTTGCAGCCTCCGGTGCACCTGAAGGCCTGGTAGCCTGCTGGCTCGATGATCCAGTACTGCGTCCAGGTGAGGGCACGGAAGTTGATGAAGTACTGCTCCCTGCAGCAGGTGTCTTTGTTTTGGTTGACGTCGCAGTCGCCACGAGAACTGAGGAAGAAAGAATAAAAATAATTAGATGGCTGCTGCACAGTGAGGCCCATGAGGCCCAGAATCTCTTAGCTACACCCCTGCTATAGTTCCAGCTATGATGTGTATTATTTTTTAGATTTATATGCCCAATTGAATCTGTTTAGAAGTAATAACTATAAAAAGTACAAAGAATCAGAACTATTAAACACTAATATGTTAAAGAAACTAGATGTGCTATATGGCAGTACTCTGCTGCTACCTTTCTCCAGACTGAGAATGAGTAAACTGACGCCCCAGTGTCACACTCCTACAGATCTACTACTGAATGCAAATGGTGACAGGTAAGAAGAGTAAAAAATAGGATATGGGCTACTTTTCACACTGATACAATATCCTGTGTATCAAAAGTTCGCGCCCTTACCCGTATTCTTCAAGGCTGAGTGTGTAGAGGATGAGCTCGGGTTTTCCCAAGGTGTTGTCCGTCTGCTCCTGGGTGGTAAAGCGCACACTCTTGGCCATCTCTGCCGCGTAGCTGCCAGGTCTCTCGCCCTCGATCCACACCTCCAGGTGCATAGGTGTCTTCTGCTGGGTCTTGGACCAATAGTGCACCGCCTGGGTCACATCAAAGCTCTTCCAGCCGGTCTCGTGAATGGGGATCAACCTGTGAGCACGAGATAAGGGCGATTAATTAAAATGAGATCAAAAAGAATATGTCCGGGAGAAGAATGCAATTGAATTATTATTAAGATAAGGCTGATGAGGCTCTGCATTTAATATATTTTCCCTTACCGTGAATCTACCAGCGATGTGCGGTTGGATCCGTTTGGCAGCACCTCCACCCAGTAGATGCTGACCCGGGCGTTGTTGACGGGCCGGTGGTTCTTCCTCTCCACCGCGAAGCGTTTGTGGTAGGAGGCCCGCTGGTAGAGCTTCAGCTCCGCCATGGTCACCTCGCTGTTGTCCGGGATCCTCGCCTCCATGTCGAACACCATACGATTCCGAGTGGTGTCAGAATACACATACTCCCCAGAAATATCTAAAGCACAAAGCATCACAGGCGTTTTAGGGGATTGTTTCTCTCACACAAAATGACTGTTTTGTAAAGGCAATTTGGTGCGTAAAATAGTCTTTGCGCGCCGAGTGTCATAATTACGCACGGAAATAACTGTTTACTTCAGCTGGCATTTGTGTCAGTGCTGTTTACATATGAATTCCTAAAAATCACATGTCATATATTTAAAATATAAGAAAGGACCTTACCTGCATTACCAGGGATTCCCCTGAGGATGCCCGCCAGGCTGGGAAGAGATCTGCGTCTCCTGCTGTGGTGCATCTTCAGCATGGACAAATACTTGTTTCTGATATGCGCCGGAATAACCAGATTCTCCAGATCCCTCTTATGGATCTTAGGGACTTCATCCAAGCCGAGTTTCTGCAGCAGCGCGTCCTTCATATCCTGATGCGTAAAAGCCTCGGCGAGACCGAAGAGAGCGGCGCACAGGACACAAGCGCTGAGGAAATCCATGAGTAAAGAAAATTGAGTGTGACAAACAGCAGCACGGTAGCACAAGTCACCCAGAGATAGACAGTGTGCCTCTGACACTCCTCTGGCCCCTTATATTGCCGCGGTCGTCCCAGTCGTTCGCACTTTGTCAATGGGGGCAGGGACCCTTATCAGAACAAAGGTGGGACAATACAGCCCCATCCTAAACAGGATATCTAAGTGGCCATACTTCAAACAGCAACAATTAGACTCGAGTGCCATCCGTATTGTGGAGGTGTAATTTCACCATAGTTCCACTAAAACTATGCTTGATGTCGGTGGCCTGTGTTGCATTTGATGCCAGAATGAGGATCTAAAATCTGCTTTTTATGGTGTAAATAAATGATTTAGATTCATCTTGATTGTAGGAAAATCAAACAGTCAAATTACAAATTATTGTAATGTGCATTTCATGCATTTATATATTTGTTCAACTATATTTTTTTGTTGATACCCAGCTGTATCATAAGTTTAAATAAGCATCATGATAGTTAAAATGCTTTTTGGGGGGCTTTTCTACCCTAAAAAGAAGAACATTCAGGGGGAAACACTAAATACAGGAATTTATTTGGCAGTGAAGGTGTCAGTCAAGATATTGAATGTCAACACAAAAGTATAATTGACTACAAGTATTAGTTTGACAATTAAAAAATCCACATCTGTCTAATTAACAGTTACCAATGGGAACTCTTTATGGTTTTGTGTGACTTGCTGCCATTCCATTTAAATAGTGTTTTCACTGTTGTAACTTGTGTTTATTTCACATACAGTTGAACAAAAACTTATTTTATTAATAAACTCAGTTATTTTTTCAGAATGAGAAGCCCTATCTTCCTGGTCCGGTCTGAAGTGTGTTCTCTGCTTCTACACATGCGTCCCAGACAGACATCTCTTGACCCTGTGAACCTGAAGTGCCCTCTCCTCAGTAGCACCCTTGTCTACACACACACCCCACACTCTGACGTGTACATTCCACTGGACGATGTCAGTCTGGCAACAGTCTGGTCACACAGTGGGCTTACTTCTGTCTGGAAAGCAATTTTGTCCAACAAAAAGGTGGACTAAGATCAGGACTACAAAAACCAGCAGGCACTCCAGTCTGTTCATTTTGGTACAAGTGTATAACAAGGGGGCCGAGGAGGAAGTAGTGCAGAGCTCTGAGGGAGGAGGGGTACTACAGAGGATTAGATGTTTATTCTGAGCCCTGTCACCCATTCTTGGCCCTCTCCAGCAGATTAAAATTATTAGCCAAACAGACAGTTAATCCAGGGGCCGGGGGGGGCGGCGTGGATGTGGATTGGGGCAGGCTCTTCACAGGTTGGTGATTATCTGATTCCATTGCGAGGATTTGCCTTGCCTTTTTTGTCACACAAACATTAGAAGAGGGCTGCTCTCGCTGGCTGCCCAGAAGGCCCTGCCTGCGGTTGTGTATTGGCCAGTGTTTGCTTAGAGATGTCAGACAGACTGAAGGGGCACACAGGAAGAGCAAATGACAGATGACTGCCAGACCCTGCTCACTCCAGCCAGTGCCTGTAGCTCACCAACAAGACAAATTATTAATTAGTGCTGTAAACCTGATACCTAATGACAAGATCCATGTGTGGGACAAACACAGGATGCAGTATGGACATATGTAATGAAAAAAGTCTTAATAAATATACAATTGCATGTGTGTAAAGGCAATTATGTGTGTATAGAGTTAATTCTAATAACATTATCACACATATAACAACTAGATCATTATGATCTTGATGCTGTTGCATTTTTATTTCAAATTAATGGCTATTTCTTTGCAAATACATGGCAGGATTTTCCCTTTTGTAGCATTTTTTTCTGCAGGTTTTGCAGCTTCTTCTAAGATTTTTAATGAATGAATGAAATTTGCAATGTCAATTTGCAATTGTGTATAATAGTATAACCACTGGTCTCACATAATAGCTTATTAGTTTTTCATTCCAAGTTGGGACATTTGAAAAGATTTTCTTACAAAATTAGCACTAAACAAAAACTTGAGACACTTATCTGTGTGTTTATTTTTATTAGTTTATTTGATGGGGATGGAGCTCATTAATTAAGCGTTGATCAACAGAGAAAATGGCACAATTAGCCCAAAAGACAATTTTTTCATGTTAACAACATCATAAATATGCATAAACAAAACATGCATCTATTAATAATGCCACAGTTGCACACAGTTAAGAAATGAAACAAAGACATTTTAAAAAGCAAAAAAAAGGCTCCAATCAGATGATATATGAGTATCTGAATATGAACAGTAAACAGCAGAGAGCCAACTCCCTCAGAGCCCACAGGAGAGCTCCACAATCACCAGTGCAGACATGTAAATTCAGAGCTCATCCATTGTCCAGTCCAGCCAGAGACCAATTCTGTTGTCCAGAGCCTAAAATGCACAGACCTTTGGTGTCCTCTCTCCCTCACATTACAACTCCTAATTCGGGAAATTAAGATGGCCTTTGTGTGATATTTCTCAGTCTTTCTTCCTTCCCATGCCAATCAAAGACAAGTTGCCTAGTTCAAAGCTACATCTGATACTCCGAGGTGCCATTTCTTTTCAATCAAAGGCCAACAAGCTCCCACAATCAACAACACAGGTGTTAATTAACATCAGGCATTAGCATTCAAAAGCAGTCCAATTTATAGGTCATTCCCTTCCATTTGTGAAACATGAAATCCCCTTGGCCTGCAAAAAAACAAAAACAAAAAACCGCTGTTTGTAGAAGGACCAGTTGAAATGCTTATATGAGGGAAATATTGTAGGGAGGCCTCAGGAGGAAGCAGTGTGCTTGCTGTCCATGTGGTTAGGGTTAGACATAGAGATATATATATATCAGCATCTCATTTGGAGTCTCCCTGGGAACAAGGAGGAGCTGCTCCAAAAAGTCAATATTGAACTTGTGTTGGTGGTCAGAGCAAATTCCTCATTATTCACATGGCTCTATTGTCACAGACTTCCTAATCTACTATTGCCTGCTTTATCTTAATATCAAATATTTGGGGGAATCTAGTTTGCACCTTAATGGCCCATACAACCCTTTTTTCTTTTTTTAACAGACGTCAAAGCCCGAGTCTGGATCAATCCATCGAGCTGGGCTGCCAATAATCATTGATCAGTCTGTCAGAGGGGAAAGCGCTAGACCTGTGCAAGGACAATACAATTATTGCTCAATGGCCTCCACATGTAGACAAAGTGCAGGGCAGTCTAATTGCATTTCACACAGCTAATGACGGCTCAATCAGCGCAGAGACGGAGGGTTTAATCCCAACGGAGACTTAACCAAATAGGATCAGACATGATTAGATAGCACTAACCATCAATATTTTCTTTAACTTTTAATTAATCGACACATGGGAGACTTTTAGTGTGCAGGGCGCTTATAATGAACCGGATCAAACCAATATAACATAACAACGACACGGACAGTTTTGTCGGGCCCTGGTTCACTAAACACACTGCTCTGTGAAATAGTAGAAATGAATGAAAATGACTAAAAACTCATCAAAAACCTGGGGAAAAAAACCCATTTACAATAAATACAGGCCAGCTGCAGTAACCTAGATATAGCCCAGTTTAACAGCTGCATGGAGGCAGAGTGTACAGCAGAGGGCGCTGTGGTTATATTTTAGACGGCTAGAGGCTTTAAAGGGAACAACCGTACAAAAAACAGTATGTAAGTAATCATTTTATAAAACAGCAGGAAACAATTTATAATGCACTTTGTTTAAAATTGAATAAACTGAACTTATTACTGCACCGTAACTCCACATTAACTATATTTATTATTGTATTATTTATTTAATTATATTTGATTAATTATCCTATTATATATTTTTTATTGTGTTTTAAATATGGTTCTAATGCATATCTTCACCGTATTTCAAGGATTCTCTGATGTTTTATTGTTATTCAAAATTCAAGGCTGTGTGATGAAATGTCGATATAGTTCCCTTCATGCTACTTTAAAACAATTGAACAGTCTCACAGCCAGAGGGAAGAAGCGGCTCTGCAGTCTGGTGGTACGGCAGCGGAAGCTTTTACCTCTTCCCAGATGGCAGCAGTGTTATTATATCATTGGAAATGTTACATGCAGACGAGTGTTTTTATGTATGGCTTCCTGCTGTCAGTCAGAATAGGCTATTATCTGCCAGTAAAGTCACCATTGCTGCTGTTTGTGCTCCATTATTCACTACCATGACATCATCAACAGTGCTGTCTATCAAACTCTAAACCATAAAGGTATTTACAATGTTTTCATCCCAGTCGGTTCTCTGTCAGGTCAAAATGTTTAAAAACAAACCTGTAAGGGTGGTTTACTATTTAAAAAGAAGATGATTAACTTTATTAATTTTACACACACATTTAACCCACCCAGGATGATCAAAACAATCAACAACGGAAGAAATGTACAATGAAAACTGAATCAAAAGTGCACCAAGCCCAGAGAGACAGTAATACATCCAATATGTCAAGTACATTGCAAATATAACTATATATATATATTCAAATGGTAACACAAAAGGAAACATTCAAATAAATAATAATAATCATTATAAACCTACTTTATTTACATTAACTAAATAAATTAAACTCAATCAAATTAAAAAACAATACAGCAGATATCATGTATGTGAATTCAGTTTTAGAGTGTATTTTCCCTTTAATGGTGAACTGGTTCCGCAGTGCCACACATGGGAGAGAGTAAAGATATTTTCTCCTCGTCACTATTCTTATTATGTTGTTGTATACTGTTACTGGTGTACTTTTACACAGAATTTATTTCCAGACCAAAACAATCAATCATCTCAGAGTGGTTACACAGTGTAGAATATATAAACCGTTGTGTGGCTGTTTCTGATAAACAGTCGTGCCAAAGCAGTATGCTTCAAATTACACTTGGTCACCATCAGAATCAGTTTTATTGGACCCATCTTGCATGTGGAGTCGTTGTGCGTGTGTGCTCATTTCATCACAGTGCTTCTTTGTGCCTTTCTTCTCTCTGGCACTGCAGCAAGAAGGCCATTTGAATATGATCTGAAATAAAATAAAATAAAAGTGTATTATTCTATGTTGGTCTTTGTTGGTGTGTGGCACACAAACACAAGGCTCCCATGTCTGTCTCCCTGCCCCCTAAGATTCAGTCTGTATGTGGACCGTTAATCATTAATAGATGTACTTTGAGCGGCGATAAGCACCCTGCTTCAAAAGGATGGGACATTTTCCAACAAGAGATTAGAATAAAACCCCTTCAAGTGTGATACTGGGCGATACTGTAAAATATCACTTTTTACTCAGTGCTTTCATGATTTATGGGATGACATTTAAGGAATGACTGTTAATGTTTTCACACAATATATTGTTAGCCAGTAACGTGCCACTCCAACAGGTTTTTAGAACAAACAAATGAGTGCAAATCAGTAACCATTTGCAGGTTGTTTGATTCTCTAAAAAACTGTCTTTGCATAAATCTCATTTAGGGTTCTGTGCATATGAAAAGTCTGCCCCGCTCAGCCTGCAGGAACACAGCAGAGCTCAGGGGGGTCATCAGACGAATCCAACTCTAACCTATGAGCCCGTTGATCTGAGAGAGTGCGCTCTCAGCATTAAGCTGCTCTCGGCCCGTGAGAACAGTCCAAGAGGCAGACAATCCGGGACAAACTTGACACACCTTGACATTGACAGATTGGAAAAGGTATAAGAACAGTAAGGATATTGCATTATTTTCCAATGCCAGTGACATTTTTAGGCACACAAGCCACAGTTAAAGTTCTGTTGAGACCACACACAGCTGGCAGAGTTGCCATTTCTGATATCATGTATGAAGTGCATGTAGGCCCATAAATATACAACATCATGAGTCAGATGTAGCCAGGCTGCCATAAACTCCCATATATGCCAGAATGTGGTAAGTTCAGGCATTTGCATCAGTGCAACACACACACACACACAGACATGGAGAAACTATGACTGCCATGTATCGTGTGAAGGTTGTGTGAATGTAGCCCACTGCAACAGCTACCAGGTCTCAGCACAAGTTGTATTGACGCAGACCACCCCATTGCGTAGGTATAGCTCAATAAAGCCAGTGTTTCGCATCCAGTTAAAGGGACAGCACTCATTGTTATTCCTGTCTAAAGAAAATGTGTCCTCTCCACACCACGTCACCAGCAGACTGACAGACAGCCCGCAGTTTCCATTCACAATATTGACAGGCCCCCACCACCACACCCCCCCCCACCCCTTCCGCACAGCAGATGCTGTGACGGGCGCCATGATGATGATCTGGGATTTTGCCTGCAGCAGCGACCAGAGACGCTGTGACGCCAGGAGATAGGCGGCTGGCCGTAGAGACGTAGACGGATTCACGCATTGGCACAGCAAAGATGGCCGATTTGAGGATTCAGCGCTGTACGCATGCGTGAAAGTTGGAAAACATGGACATTTGTCTTTTAAACGAGACACCGGACGGTCTCCTAACGTATGGCGTTGAACCGGAGACATTCGCTATAGATTAAGGAGGAGGTGAAGTATTTCGAGCGGGTTTAACAGTTGTGTTTTTAACGTGTACAAGCAGCGCCGCGAGCTGAGCGTCCATTTTTATCCCATTCATATTTTCCAACCAGGCCCCACTTCCCACAATCCAGCGCGACGTTACGCACAGAGCTGTCTACTCGGTAGTCTTTCGTGTGGACAGTCTCTGGTCAAGCTGCTGGTAGCTTCACTGTGCAGAGAGGCAAGAAGCGACCGACCGGCGGGGGAGGCAGGCAAGGCAAAGGAAAGGAAAGGACAGGGGGAGTTTAGGCTGTGTCCCGTATTTGGAATAAGCAAGACTAGACTACAGCGTTCCTGTTTGACGTGAAACAGGCTCCTCTGTAACCTTCAGAAAGGACCCTGCATTTTTTGACGGCTAACTTACGGGCAGTTGGGACTCTTGAACTAACCGTCGTCTTGAACTGTGAAGAAACTAGAGAGACATTTGGTTTCTGGACGAAGAATGGGATTTAAAGAACATATCTGCCAGCACTGAGTTGAGAAAACAAGGGAATATTTTCCAGTTGGATGGGAAAAAAAAAATAAGCACACTGTCGAACGGGGCCAAATTCAGTTAAGCTGTGTTAACACTGTGCATAGTGTAGGTCAACTCCTGGGGAAAAGCGCAGCGATGGCATTTGGGAACGAAGAAAAGTAACGTTAACGTTAGCTCGCTGGCTAGCTCAATAGCTAACCTAGCAGGCTGCTAACTAAGCCTGTGTCGCCCTGCCATTCCTGGAGCAGAGGAGGGGCGCTGGGGCTTTGTAGCATTGCAGATCTGCCTTGCATTTTTTGGGTTCGCTGCAAGAATGGAGAATCCCAAATATCTGCCACCACAACTCAGGGGGATCTGTTGAACCGCATCGACTCGATTCTGTTTTCCATTTCTCACAGAGGGGACCAGAAAACCTGCCAGCTAAACGTTGGGATTTGATCTGAATCAGCCGGCCCGGGGCAGCCAGGCTCTGTAATTGTGACCACTTCTTTTCGTATATGCCCTGCGGGGATAGGTATTATAAAATGGGGAAGTGCTACACGTCTGGTGCACCTCTTACATACTGGATCTCGAGAGGGAGAGCATGAACAGGCCGGTTTTAACGCGGAATTAGCCCCCGGCTTGCCCTCAACTCAAAGTTTCTTATTTTTCGAGACATATTCAAGGTGAGAGAACTTCTTTCCAGGCCCCTCTGCGCTAACTAACAGGCCGAGGAGGTGTTTGCTCATCCCCCCCCTCCTCCTCCATCATCATCATCATCATCATTAGTTCAAAAAGCGACAATCCGGAATAATCATGTCGGGAGAGGTGCGTTTGAAGAAGCTGGAGAAGCTGATCCTGGACGGGCCAGCTCAGTCTAATGGCCAGTGCCTGAGTGTGGAAACGCTGCTGGATATCCTGGTCTGCCTCTACGATGAGTGCAACAACTCTCCGCTCAGAAGAGAGAAAAATATCCTGGAGTTCTTGGACTGGGGTAAGCAAGCTTTTCTTTTTTTTTTTCTTTTAAACATTTTTTATTTCATCTTGTTTGGCCCTGTGCATTCAGCCTCCCTGTCTTTTTGGTAAGATGATAGGCTAATAATGCTGGTGGTGCAGTGGCCCTCCCTTCCCCATCACATTCCTTTTATAGTAGTAGTGGGGCTCAGTTGGCCTGCTCTCTGCTCACTCAAAACCCTCCCTAAAACTGAAAGCAAGGCCACTTTATTCTCGTGTAATTAAATGCTTTATATGTTTTGGAAAAAAAGGATCTTCCTCGGCAGCATGTCTAAGTTACGAGAACACACATTAAACAGAGGGCACGTCTGCGTTACCAAAAACAGACAGGTTGTTAAAAAGAAAAGGTGGTACCAGGCTGGCAGTGAGGAGGAACCAAGTACACAGAAGGACATTAACTACAGTGAGGAGGATCCTGAACAGGCACACTCAGAGTTTTGGTATGAATCCAATAAAGATCTCATAAAGATGTCCTGTGCTCCAGGCCACCAGTTATTCTTATGAAAATGCACTCTTACATAAAGTCGATGTGTCTGTCGTCGCACCAGCCCTCTTTGGTTTAGTTTAGTTTTCACCACTACTTTGCATGCCAGTTTGTTTTCCTTTTTATGGGCGTGTAGGTGAAAGCTTGTTGATAACTTACCTAGCTGTCTCTTGTCAGAAATGGTCTTTTTTATTTTTGCCATTGCGACACAGAGATCACAGTTGCACAACCTAAAGGTTTTCACCAGAATTTGATTAGTTTATAATTAGGAAAGGGAGTTTTGGAGGACAAGCTAGCAGCTTTTGTAACTTTCCCACTCCCTTGGTTGAAGCAAGGTTAGAAAAAACAACACACAGGAGGCACGACAGGAGGACCACACACACACACACACACACACACACAAACAACTCAATCATTTGTGCAGAAGGACTGCCTGTGTGTGTGTCTCTCTCTGTGTGTGTGTGACATTGAGGGTTTGGTTTGTGCATGAAGCAGGAATGTGAACAACTCACCTTTTTTATCTGGCGCAGAGGCCCTGCTAGCTGCCGGAGCATGCCTGGCTGGCCTGCTTGTCTTTTTAAAGCTCTGAAAGAAGTGCTGCAGCAGTGCAGGAGCAAGTCATTGCCCTGGATTGAGACAAATTAATAATACAGCAGGCAATAAGAAACAAAAGTATAATGGAAAGAAAGTGCAGTCTGGCACAGTTTTTCTTTCTTGTATTTCTGAAACAGTTTTATCTGCGATGTTAAACAGGCAGCAGTTTGGTTGATTATAGAGTGGCAAAGACAGACAGGATGCCGGTTAAATCAGTCAAACGGTGGTAAATTCTGGCTGTGGCTGCTAGGTTGGTTTATCCCAGCAGCCACCATCTGGACAACCTATTCTCTGCTAAAAATGGAGCAATGCTGGCTGGTAAAAGTGGCTGGATTTGGTGATTTTGGTGTCTACAAAGGGATAAAGAGGTACTTTTCTTCCTGTCTAAAAGCGTTCATTCATTACACATGGATTGTTTGCTTTAGAGCATCCTATTTCCCCCCAGTTGTTAGTGCCCAGCCGATCTGCTGCACGCGTAGCTGGCCTTGCAACAATGCCGGTGTTCTGGCCTTTAAGGAGCGGTGCCCTGAGCTCGGGCGCCAAGCGGTGACTTCATCCTGACATTTCCCTCTGTTGACACAAGAAACTTTTTGACTGAACTCGACTAGACACAACACACAACGTACAGATGTATCCCAGCTGTCACTGTCCTGGTCCCATGTTGTTGCATGTTATTGTGTTTCACTCCAGAGGGATTTGTGTGAGAATCCTCTAGCTTCTACAATTAATATCAATAATTGAATTGAGTTGCACAGTTTGTACCTAGAAGTCCCTGAAGCTGAAGTGATGTAAACAAAATGAATCCATTATCCCAATCAGGTTGTCAAGAAGAGGCCTCGGGGAGTCTTAATATGAGTTGTTGCCTTCTCCCAACAGTCTTGAAGTATTCTCACTATAAACACCAGATTCATTTCTCTTAGCAACAATACAAACAATAATCTCATGTGTCCGCTGTTTATAGTTTTATTTGATAAAACTGTACCGACGCCTGACATTAGCAGACGCAGACCTCCACTGTTAACAGCTTAGGGAAACCCTGTCCAAACAGATGAGCCACGATGCTTCTCTTGCCTCCTTCTACCATGCTACCCATACATCACGGCTCCTGGTGGACGTTACCCAGCGAGCTGTAACCACATCCTACGATAACTGTGGTGTTACTGCTGTTCCTAGGCAGTTCCATCACCAGTGGCTAAAAGGTAGACTGCAGCTGTTTATTGTGATTGAAAGGAGAAAAAAGAACAAGATAGACATCAGTGGTCCTTTATGGACGAGGATTGCTTCCATCCAGTTGGTTGATTTAGATACAGTATTTGTAAAATGTCAAGAAATGTGAAAACAAAGAGAAAACATTACTTCTGGATCACTGCTAGCAGCAACAAGTTCATAACTTTAGAACTGGGAGAATTTGGGAAATTAAATGTAGAGTTTAGCAGCAAAATGGAGGAACTCATCTCAAGACTCAATTGGAGCAATATGGATGTGATAAGTCACATTTAAGTTGCTCTTGGTTACACACCTCTCCATTTTATTCTTTTTTTGTGTAGCAGAGGACGTTAACAACCAATGTGAGTAAAGACGTTATGATTGTGATTAAAGGACCCTTGCATGTAATATATAATCTGTTTATTAAGAGTTATGGTCTTTTCAGGTGAAGAGCAGTTCTCTACCTGTGTCTGCTTGGATCTACATTCTCCGTCAACGGCAGGCAGATTTTGATTACCTAGTTTGGACAGAGCCAGGCTAGCTGTTGTCCCCTGTGTCCTGTCTTTATGCTAAGCTAAGCTAACAGACCGCTGGCTGTATATATTCACCGGACTGATATGGGAGTGGTACCAATCTTCTAATCTAACCTCCCAAAATACCGAACTGTTGCTGCAATTGATTCACATTGTGATGCAGTGGTACAGTCGAGCAATTTGGAATAAGGTGTTGATGTGCTTCATCGATAGTCAAAAACAAACATGTTAGAGCAGTGGTAGCGGACAATACTGAAGAGTAGATTTCCATCTTTTGGGAAGGGATAAAATGACTTGCCGTGGCATGGTTTTTTCGCACGGAGACGATAACGCACGTCCACAAGATAGCAGACCACTCCCTTTTGGCGTTGCCATCAACAACGACATGGTATCATTGAGGTCAAGTCTTGTCCTGTTCTCTGAAGTTTTTGGAGTGTCACTACTCCCATGTTCTCTCCTTCTTGGCAGAACACCCAACCAGAGGTTCAATGGAAAAAGCACACCTGTTACACACACAACACTCTGCAGTATTTACACTGTTACTAGCAAAACACTTTTTTTTTTAACGTCAGCTGAAGAAGTGATATAATGCCAAGACAGCACCCTGTTCATACTGACCAACAGAGCCAGAGAGTGCACATGACTGATCGTAGCCTGTAAGAAACAGATTGGATCAGACGGATAGCGTTAACAAGTACTCAAAACACTGTTTAATCCTACATAGAGAAAAATGCTTCAAGATGGGCCCCATGAAACCTAAGACCTGTTCAGCTTGTGAGTGATCTGCCTTTGTCAGCCTCTGCAGCTACAGGAGAGACACATCATCCTGGCTTACTCACCGGGCCTGTACCTTTCTGCTACAGTGGCACAGCCATAACAAAGGTGCTGCGATGTTCCCTTTTCTTCCTGACAATGTATATGAGCCAGAGAAGAAGACAAACATTTGTATTGGGTTTGCTTTTCTTCTTGTTTGGTGACCTCATTTCAGCTGAAATAGAGACCCCTTCATGACCTGCAGCCACAGGGGAAATGAACACGGGAAAGTACACTGAATCCTGACTCCTCACATATACCACAACTTACTGCAGCTAACAAGTTCACCAGATCAGCCGGCACTTGTATTATCGTTAGTTGTTAAACCTTGTGAAATTCAATGTAGGCCAGCCCACTTGGGGCAACATCGCCCTTATTTGTAAGTAAATGTGTCTGTTGTTAACTAGATGAAGGTTGAGCATCAGTCCTCAAAAAATTAATTTTTCCATGGAACAAGCAATTCTCAGGAATTCAACTATTATTGTATGTGTGTGATTCTTTCAGTTTCACATTGATCCATGTAGGGCGGTGTTATCCTTTCTGCATATTTCAGCACCAGCAATGAAGTTGATGTGTTTTTGAACGGATTACAATCTCAGTACAAATGTAATCTTTATTTACTGCTACTGGTGTTTTATGCACTATTAGGTTGTCTTCTGTTTTCTAAACAGGAATTCACGTTCCTGCCGGACACACTTGCATTCATCTGTCATAGATATCCTGTTTTCCTGCTTCGCTCCAATCATTTCCTGCTTTTTGTTTTGTCCTGATAGCCTTCCCTGTTTTGGGAAACAGCTTGCCGGGCAGCAGAGTGAAAAGGGGCAGCCGTGCCAGCCCACAGTAGGCAAACATGGGGGAGGCAGCCTGACCTTTTCTCAATCTAGACTCAATGTTAGCCCGCAGTGGCCAGCTGTTCTTCTGCAGCTGATGTGTGCTCCACCCTGCATTTTCATTGGCAGCACGCCTCACACACTACTCACAGTGGAGACGGAGACACACACACACACACTTATTATTGTGGTTTTTGCCTAACTAGGCTATCTCATAGTTCGCAGACCGGAGTCCCTCCCTGTTATTCCCATTATTGAACAGTAGAGCTGCTTTGAGTTGAGCTCTTTCCAAAGACGAATTTTTGTGTCACATGGTTTTTAAATTCTCCTTGGAGGCCATTCCATGCCACCAAGAACAAAAGAGGCTATATGCAAGGCCAGCACTTTAAACCTCTGGCTTTATATGCATTGTGCATACCAGCCTTGCAGTCATAAACATGCATTTAGATCAGGCTAACTGATTGTGAAATGTGCTCTAGTGCCTATGTATGATGATAATAACGATAGAATGGAGAGTTGA